TTATTTATTTATTTATTTATTTATTTATTTATTTATTTATTTATTTATTTATTTATTTTACGTGATTTCTTCTATAGAAAACAGTCCATCGCTTTTAATTTTCTAAGTTTAATAATCAACCTGTAATTAGCAGCAAATGCTGTCATTCGTGCCTAACCAGATTAGTTTTTGACCCTAGTTTCAGTCCTTTCTCACTTATTCCCGTCTTAAACCACTAAAAATACACACCACTCATACCATCCACAGCTCTTTCCTACGTAGATATGCCACATACAGGTGTAACAGTGTCTTTGGAAGTACATGTACGTATGTGCCCTGACAACCAGTGGCCTTCCACATGCCTTTTAATTTCAACTCACAGATTTCAANTTACTTTTTAGAGCTAAATTTTATTTATTTATTTATTTATTTATTTATTTATTTATTTATTATACGTGATTTCTTCTATAGAAAACAGTCCATCACTTTTAATTTTCTAAGTTTAATAATCAACCTGTAATTAGCAGCAAATGCTGTCATTCGTGCCTAACCAGATTAGTTTTTGACCCTAGTTTCAGTCCTTTCTCACTTATTCCCATCTTAAACCACTAAAAATACACACTACACTCATACCATCCACAGCTCTTTCCTACGTAGATATGCCACATACAGGTGTAACAGTGTCTTTGGAAGTACATGTACATATGTGCCCTGACAACCAGTGGCCTTCCACATGCCTTTTAATTTCAACTCACAGATTTCAATTGTGCAGCTCTTTTATGCCACTCTTTTCTGTAATACTGCACCCACACGTGCACACATACATATATAGGCCCATGTGTATTTCAGAGTGGGGAAGAGAGTGGGTGAATGGGTCTTTGTACAGCTTAGCCATGGAGCCTTGGGTGTTTGTAGAACAGAGCCCTAGATTCAGAAGAGCCAACTTTGATCTTTGACTCAACTATTTGACCATGTTACTTAAGCTTTCTAAGAAACAGGGTTGTTGGAAGAATTAAGTACAACAGCTGTATCAGCTGTTCTCAAACTTTTTGGTCCCAAGACCCCTTTATACTCTTAAAACTTATTGTGGACTCCATAGAGCTTTTTTTATGTTGTTGTGTGTGTTCTTTGAGATTCAGGCTTTCTTCCAGTCAGAGCTTAATACCTTAGGACATGTTCCCCAGGAAAACAAATAAAGCATCTGTATATCTAACTTTAATTCATATGCAGGATTTTTCTCTTAACTTTTTTTAAAAGAAATTTAAGGAGGTAGGGCATTTTCCACTTGGCTACATATTTATTTATTTGTTTGTTTGTTTGTTTGGCTGCATTCTAACCAACTGAGCTAACCGGCCAGCCCACTTGGCTGCATATTTAGCATATAGCTGGCCTTTTCAGATGTATCATTTTTGGCAGCACAGAACTTGACCAGGAGAGCATTTACTCTGAGCCCAGGATCTTAAAAGAATCCTAAGCACTGATTATATTTTTTCAACTTTGTATTTTAGAAAAAATTCAAACATAAACAAAAGTAGAATGGTATGCTACAACTCCCATGTCCCCATTACCAAGCTCCAGTGGTTATCAACTGGTAGCCAGTCTTGTTTCATCTGTACCCCCACCCATTTCCCTTTGCCAGTATTATTATTATTATTATTATTATTATAACATTTCATCCACAAATACTTCAATATGTATTTCAAAAATGTAGGCACACTTTTAAGACATAACTAGAGTACCTTTACCATACCTAAAATAAAACCCTTAATATCACCAAATATCTCGCCAGTGTTCAGATTTCCACTCGGGACATAAATGTCATAAATGTGTGGGTCTTGTGAGGGAGGGGGACAGTTTATTTATTTGAAGCACTCAGTCTTCAGATGTCACTGCAGCCCTCGAGCTTCCAGGTGTCCTGAGTGCCTGTCTTGTGTTGAGGCCGACTGCATGCTTCTGCCGATGTTGTACCCAGCCTTTCCCCAGTCACTGCTACCCTCAGACAACTTCACTGTAGGCCAACATAACTATAGGGGATCCACCTTCCTGGGCTCATTTTGCCTCATGAGTGGCTAAGGCATTTTTTCATGTGTGGAATTCTCTCCTAAGGGTCAGCATCACAACATAGAACCACTTCTGCAGAAATGTTCCCTAGAGTAATAAGCAGTTTTTGCAGAAGAAAGATGAGAGATGAGCTGCTCAAGAATATTTTGTTACTATGAACAATGCTTTAATGAACAGCTCCTTCTGTATGATTTTTTTTCCTTTTTAATAATCATTTTATCAGAGTTCATTTCCTTGGATTATACTATTTGAATATAGATATTTCTTTTTTACCGGGCTTCTTTCTAAAAGGGTTGTCCTGTTTTACTTTGCCTTAAACAGTGAATGAGTTTACAAATCTCACCACATCCTTACCAACTTTGAATAGTATAATTTTTTAAAATTATTGCTACTAATTTTAAAGCTGGTTATGTGGTTCTTTTTAGACAAATTTATTCAACAGTATTTATTTACCATCTACCATGTACCAGGATTCATACAGAACAAGGCATATCTTTGTCTCATGGAGCTGAAAGTTTACTGCAAGAAGTAACGAGCAGTAAGAGGGGTGTCTAATCCAGGGTTAGGTTGTGGGAGGAAGGTCTAAAAGGGAATGTTCCTGGAAAAGAATTACATCTAAGCTGAGACCTGAAAGGTGCGTTGGCTAACTGTGTACAGAAGCAAAGAAGAACACCCAAGAAGAGAATAAAAGCATGTGAAAAGGCCCAAAGACAAGACAGCTCAGCTGAAGAGTCAGTCAGAGGGGAAGGAAGGGAGGCCGAGGTGAGCGGGGCAGGCCGTACACACCTTACAGTGCCTCCTCAGGAGTACCGGGAGAACTCAACTGCATAACAAGTCATTTGTCTGTGAAAACCCTTTATGAACCCTGCAGCATAATACATGTGAAATCATACCTAAGGTGGTGGCTTGATTCAAATAAGTACAGCAAAGACTGATGAAATATTTGGACTGGTAAAAATGTTGATAGAATTTAGAAGTCGTTTGCAAACATAGAATTTCTATTGGTGTAACTTTTGGTGACCCAGTTTTGACAGGGTTTTTTCTTGGTTTCAGGGTTCAAAAAGGATTCTTCGCTCCAACGAGATCATCCTTCCAGCTAGTGGACTGGTGGAAACAGAGCTCCAATTAACCTTCTCCCTTCAGGTGAGAATCTACTAAATTTTAGGTCCCTAATATACCATATCCAGTCTAGTTCCCAAACAGTCCTCTTCTAACTTGGAAGCTTTTATCCAAGAGCAGCCATTGCCCAACTTGGTCAGGAATGAATACAAGTTACCTAGAGGTTTGTGGCTAGCCTGGAAGGCCAAAGCAATCCCTTAGGCAGCCACAGTAATGGTGCTGAGACCTGGGTAGGCTGCTGAAAAGTATGCCAGGGCTCATTCTTCCTTTTCCTTGCCTTAGGTAATGCTGTTAGCCATCTACTATGCCACAGCTGTCCTACTGTGCTCAGCCACGTCACCTCTCCTTAGTAATCCACAGCACCCCAGTGGAGTGCACTCCCTTCAGTCTCATTTTGCCCCACATGGTAATCTCCATCCTTCTCTTCTCCTTATCCCTCCTAGTGTGTGTCGCTCTCTCTTTCATGGTAATACCAGTAGCCCAAATTGAAAAGCGTGGAGAAAACACTTGATTAGATGGCAAGAAAAGAGGAAGTTTTCTGAACATGTGTGGACTCCAGAACTGTGGAATGAAGCCAGGCACAAAGCAGAATCAGCCCCTTCCAGCAGCAATTTAGTGGTTCTCCTTTCACACCCTAAACCCCCTGTACTAGTCCATTTCTGTTGCTTTTAACAGAATACATGAGACAGGGTAATTTATAAAGAAACAAAATTTATTTCTTACAGTTTTGGATGCTGGGAAGTCCCTGGTCCAGGAACACCTCTGGTGAGGGCCTTCTTCTTGGTAGGAACTCTATACAGAGACTCATGGTGACCAGCTTATTACATGGCAAGCAATGACGAGAGCAAGAGAGAGCTGACCTTCTTACTTGCTATCTTATAAAGCCATCAGAACCACACCCATGACAGGGCCATTAAATCATCAGCCCATTACAGTCCATTCACAAGGGCACAGTCTTCACAATCCAGTCACTGCAAAGGCTCCATCTCAAATACCATAGTTGGATTTCCCACCCTCTTAACACTGTTACAGTGGAGATCAAGTTTGCAATACATGAACTTTGGGGGCACACAACCTGTAGCACCCACCCCCCCTTTTACAGATGGGAGAAACTAAAGCACAGAAAGATTGTGTATCCTTTAGCAGGACCAGAACCCACCAAGGACCCAATTGCTTATTAACTGTGCTCCACTCTGTTCTGTACTCCATAGTACCCTCATTTCCTTAAGCGAGATGCCAACAAGCTGCAGATCATGTTGCAGAGGAGAAAGCGTTACAAGAACCGGACTATTTTGGGCTATAAGACCTTGGCTGTGGGACTCATAAACATGGCAGAGGTGAGCAGAACACAGTCTCCAAACTGTCGGCCTTTAAGTCAGAGAGCCCAGGAGAGCTACTAGGCCCAGCTGTTTGAACCCAGCAAATGTTTTTCCCAGCATGCTGGCTAAGTGTTTAATTTTATTTCACAAGTTAATTATTCTACTGGAAATTCAGGATATACTTATTTTTATCAAGTATTTTCTACCTCACAAGTTTTTTCTATAACTTTTTTTTTTTTGTCGTTTTTGTGATGGGTAAGGGGATCGCAACCCTCGGCTTGGTGTCGCCCACACCGCGCTCAGCCAGTGAGCGCACTGGCCATCCTCATATAGGACCCGAACCGGCGGCGGGAGCACCGCTGCGCTCCCAAGTGCTGCACTCTCCCGAGTACGCCACGGGGCCAGCCCCTATAACTTTTTAAAATATAATTTCAAACTTATGGAAAAGTCATGTGAATAGTATAAGGAATTCTCCTATGCCAGATTTACCCAAATTCTTCAGTTGTTAACATTACCACATTTGCCTTTTTCTTTCCATATATATATATATATTTATGCATATTATTTTCTTTTCTGAACCATTTAAGAGTAAGTTGCAGGCATGATGCCTCATTAAGTATTAAATCCTGTGATATGTTAATTTCCTAAAAATGAGAATATTCTCCTATGTAAACACTGTACCACCATAAAGATCAGGACATTAACATTGATTTAGATTACCATCTAACCCACAGTCCCAATTTGGATGCATCAGATGTTTCAATAATATTCTTTCTAGGCCCAAGATCTAATCTAGGATTACACATTGCATTTGGTTGTCAGGTCTCTTTAGTTTCCTTCCGTGTACAACAATCTCTAGATTTTCCTTTTCTTTCAGACCTTGACACTTTTTTTTTTCCTTTTTGTCTTTTTTTGTGTCCGGCAACGGATCGCAACCCTCAGTGTCGCGCCCGTACCGGACCGGGACCGGCAACGGGATTGCAACCCTCGGCGTTGCGCCCGCACCTCGCTCAGCCAGTGAGCGGGAACCAGTCTGTTATGTGGGATCCAAACCCTTGGCGGGAGTGCCACCGCACTCCCAAGCGGCGCACTGTAGCAGTGCGCCACCGGGCCGGCCCAACCTTGACACTTTTTAAGACTATCGGCTGGTTACTTTATTGGACATTCCTCAGTCCAGGTTTGTGTGATGTCTCAAGGTTAGATTGAGTTTATGCATTTTTGGCAGAATTAGCACAGAAGTAGCACCTTGTTCTTCTCAGTGCCCCAGAAGCAGCACTGGATGGTAATTTGTTTCCTTACTGATGATATTAACTTTTATCACTTGGTTAAGGTGGTGTCTGCAAGGTTTTTTCACTATAAAATTAATTAATAAATATTTTGTACTTATTAGTCAAAAAATGTTTATAAATATTTATGGAGAGATATTTTGAGACTATGTAACTGTTTTTTTCCTTCTCATGTTTTCACCAACTAGTTTTAGCATCCGTGGATGATTCTTGCCTGAACTGGTTATTACTTCGATGCTTGCTAAACTGAATTTCTAATCCCACCATTTCTTCTTCATTTATTAGTTGGCTTTCTATTGTAAGATAGAGCTTTCCCTTCTTCCCCATTTACTGATTGATGCATTTGTTTGTATCTGTTATAGACCTGTGGATTCCTGTTTTATTCGATGGGGTTTAATCTGCTACTATCATTTTTTACTTTGTTGCTCGTATTGTCTCAGATTTGGCCAGTGGGAGCCCTTTCAAGCTGGCTTCTTGTGTCTTTTTTGATACGTCCCATCATTCTTTACATACTTCCTTATTTTCTGGAACAAAATATTCCAGGCCTGTTTTGTGTTTACCCTGAACCAGCCCTGGAGTGAGCTGATTCTCTGAAGAGCCCTGGTTCTTTTTAGTGGAGAATGGTATTTAAAAACCAAGATCTGGGTACTAGGAGTCCTCATTTCCCCAACTGGAGTATCATTGCTTCTGCTCCCTCTCAGCAGACAGAGCTAGAAAATATATGTATATAAATGTATATGTGCTCATACACACACACAAATTGTACCTGTCTCTGTGTCTGTCTAACCATGAGCATACGTCAGTAGTTTCAATTCCAGCGCATTGGGCTCACTCTAACTTTTCCCCTTTCCATATTTCTAACTCCCTTCTTGAATAGTAAGAAACTAGGCTCCCATTATTCTCAGTATGTTTGCTTATTTGTGCAGTTTTCCTTTATGCCAGACAAATCCTCTCAGCCTTGACAAAAGGGAAGAAGAAAGGAGCCACAAATTACTTTTAAAAATTATTTCTGTACTTTAGTGAATTAAATAGGAAAAAAATGCGGCCATAATAGGATATATGAAATAGTCCCAGCCCATTATTCTGTCCTCTTCAGGTTCTGTATCAGTACAAAAGACTGGGGGAGGGAGTGAATTAAGGTCAACACCCCATTTCCCCAGCTGTGTCAAGCCCCACCATTTCCCCATATTCTATAGCTCTTTCCTCATTGCCAGGTTCAGGCAACCACCATCTGTAGGCCTGGCCTCACCCAGCCTTGAGAACTAATTTCTCTTTGAAGGACTTTAAGTAAAATGTAGTCCTAGAGGTTAACAATCGTTGTCAATCTCAGGCCTTGACTGTTTCTGTAGGCACATGGCCCTGACCAACAGCTGGCACTGCTGGAGAAGTAAGTAAGGTCTTGAAGGCAATAGGAGGACAGTGGGCTTGGTTTTGGAAGTGAGAAAGAAAATGTATTAGCAGAGTGCCATTGCCGTTGGCTTGCATGTTCATTTGGATCTGTGAAAATGACAACTCCGGACCTCTCCATAATAAGATGCTTCCACCGCCGCTCTTTAATCTCAGGTGATGCAGCACCCTAATGAAGGTGCTCTGGTGCTCGGCCTGCACAGCAACGTGAAGGATGTCTCTGTGCCTGTAGCAGAAATAAAGATCTACTCCCTGTCCAGCCAGCCCATTGACCACGAAGGAATCAAATCCAAGCTGTCTGGTGAGATATATGCAGTGACTGGAGACCCTGTGGATGGAGAAGGGCCCATCCTCTGATCTCCGTCCTGGGGAAACTGAGCAAGATAGTGCCTGAAATACTCTAGGGAAGAGAAATTTAGAGATCCCCCAAAACAAAACACGGCCATAGCCATGGTCCTCCCTTCTACCCCAGCCAATTTCCACCCGAGAAGAGCCACTGATTCCAGTCCATTAAAGTCTCTTAGACCAGATCTTCCATTGCATTGTTATCTTACTAAGGTGTCTGTTCCAGATCGTTCTCCTGATATTGACAATTATTCTGAGGAAGAGGAGGAGAGTTTCTCATCAGAACAGGAAGGCAGTGATGATCCATTGCATGGGCAGGTAACTTTGTACAGTTCCTCATGTGGAGTGTGTGAGAAGCTCCTGCTGTCTCCAGCCTCACTGTCTCCCCCTGTCCATCAGGACCTGTTCTATGAAGATGAGGATCTAAGGAAAGTAAAGAAAACCCGGAGGAAGCTGACTTCAGCCTCTGCCATCACAAGGGTGAGCATCAGAAGTCAAGAGGATGGTGTAGCTGAGATCTTCAATTTGGGGGTAGGGTAGGAGTGGTGTATTCAAACTTAAATGGGGGAATTTTGAAATCTGTGTACACATGGCTATACCATCAAGATTCTGATGCACCCCTCCTAATCCCCCACCACCACCCAGTTAAGAATCACTGTTGTAGGGAACCACTATTACTGAGAGAAGGGTGTTATATTCTTCAGGTTGTCATAGGGTGGAGAACACTTGCTTTAGAATTTGGAACAGATATGGGCCGGCCCGTGGCTCACTCGGGAGAGTGTGGTGCTGATAACACCAAGGCCGCGGGTTCGGATCCCATATAGGGATGGCTGGTTGGCTCACTGGGTGAGCGTGGTGCTGACAACACCAAGTCAAGGGTTGAGATCCCCTTACCAGTCATCTTTCTTTAAAAAAAAAAAAAGTATTTGGAACAGATAATGGTTCCTCAGGGAACAGAACATCTCAGACACTCAACCTCCCTTTTCTAGGTGATTACTTCAAATTATGTACTGTTCCCTACAGAGATAAAGCCAGTTCTTTCTAAGAGTATCACTATTTTTAGTCATTTGTTGAACTTACCTAGAAATAATAAGCTAATACTTGGATACACCCACCAGTAACTCTGGGTTTGATAAGGTTTAATTACATTAGATATAGTTCCTGCCTTAATGGATCCATAACCTTGGAGACCAAATGCCTTTGGATTATGTCTCCTGCATAAGATTTCCTTCAGAGTCACTATTTTTGGTGAAATTCGAGTCCTGGACTGAGAAGCTAAAAGCCTGAATTCCTAGGTAAACTGTGACTGACTCTGGAGTCTTGTGCTGAAGAGTCAAAGTGCTGGGAGAGTTTTAGAAGAGAAATTCACTTTCATTTTCTCCCAGAGTCCTCCTGATTCTCTCCCGGGCAGAGCTAGCGTAGGGACCGACACCCTGAGAACAGAGATTCCAGGGCCGGCCCATGGCTCACTTGGGAGCATGTGGTGCTGATAACACCAAGGCCATGGGTTTGGATCCCTATATAGGGATGGCCGGTTAGCTCACTTGGGAGAGCGTGGTGCTAACAACACCTAGTCAAGGGTTAAGATCCCCTTACCAGTTATCTTAAAAAAAAAAAAGAACAGAGATTCCTATTCCCTTCAGGGGTGAAATGTAGGCCAGACCTTCCGAAACTGTTGTATCCGAGCCTGTGTCCCACCGTGAAACCACGCTGTCATCTCTTCAATCATCCTGAGGTGTCGCTGGGCTTCAGTGTAAATCCTCAAGACTATGACCTCGATTTTCCCATCCAGTCAGTGACTAGGGAGTGGGAGAACTGTTTCTCTGTCCTCAGGTATCTAACCTGTGATTGGCACTCCAAAATAGACCAGGTAAGGCATGTCACCAGAGCCTCAAACACCTTACCACCATTGTGCTCTGATAATGGGGAGTAGCTATAGGATCTATTTCTCTTGAAGTTCCTTTGGCTAAGTTTTTCTTTCTTTCTCTAACCACAAAGAGGCCCTATTTTCTTCCCAAGCATTGCTATCTGGAGCTTTATAAGTCACCTTTTTTATGGTCTCTTCCATAGAGTCACCCAGGTACACGAACAGAGTTCAGTGTTTCTATTGGTATCTGCTCCTCCAAAGGTTTTTTTAAAGCTGTGAACACTTTCCAATTGTGTGTCCAGAGACTTGGTAACCGCCCTTCAGTTCCTGCCTCCCTCTGTGCACGTGCATTCTTCTCACACTTTGTTCCGGACATGCGCATCTCCTGGCTCTTCTCTGAATATGTCTCGTGCTTCTTGATCATAGTGAACCCACGTTTTTTCCTCCACTGTGAATGCCTTTTTTGCCATTTCTTGGAGGCCTATCAGTCTTACTTGCAAGTTAGCTGCTTCCATTCCCAGGTGGTGAGTCTGTCGTTCAGGCAAGAAATACTTAATGGCCACAAGCTAAGCATTCTGCCCAGAGTTGGAGACAGAGAGATAAGTGAGGCCCAGTCCATGCCATCAAGGAGCATACAGTGTCTAGTGACATGGACACATCTCAACAAATAGCTACAGTAGGACAGGTGCCTTAAGACAGGCTTTTGCATAAGGGACAGTGATGACACTAAAGGGAAAGTGGTCACCTGTGACCAGGAGTGCCAGGACAGCTTCATGGATGAGATGCTGAGAAATGGGTGCCTTAGCCCATTTTGTGCTGCTATAACAGAATACCACAGACTGGTTAATTTATAAATAATAGTTTATTTGGCTCATGATTCTGGAGGCTGGGAAGTCCAAGATGAAGGGGCTGCCTCTGGTGAGGCCATTGTTGCTGCGTCAGAACATGGTAGAAAGCATCACGGGGTAAGAGAAAGCAAGAGATCAAGAGGGACCAAGCTTCTTTGTATAATAAGCCCACTCTTGTAATAACTAGCCCACTCCCATGATAACAACATTAATCCATTCATGAGAGCAGAGCCCTTAAGACCTAAGGTGGGGCTCTTATTAGGCCCCACCTCCCAACACTGTTGCATTGGGGATTAAGTTTCCAACACACGAACTTTGGGGGATACATTCAAACCATAGCAATAGAATTTCATCAAGTGGATTTGGAGAAAATTTTTATTCAAGGCAGAAGATACCATATATAAAGGCCCAGTACAACAGCATGCAGTCTTTTCCGAGAACTGAAAGCAGTTAGTTTCTATTTGACTATAGGCTGTGAGGGGTTGAATGGTGACATGAGACAGGCAGAACTAGCCCTCAGATACTTACAGGCCTGACTATTAAGCTTTGTTCTCTAGGCAGTGGCAGCCGATTGAAGACTTCTGAGTTGGAGGGTAACATGATCAGATTTGCATTTGGAAAGACCACTGTGGACTGTGGAGGGAACGAGACTGGAAACTAGCCAGCAAAGGGTGGAGTGTTGGTGGAAGGCTGTTGCAGTGATCCCGGAAAGATGCAAAGAGAAAGTCCTTGCTGAAGGCAGTGGTGTTACAGATGGAAAAGAGTGTGGGAGTTAGCCAGCATGGAGCTATGGGGTAAAAGGGAGGGGAGAGACTCCAGTGTAGATGCAGATGATTGGGTGGATTGGTGATATCAGTAACTGGGACCCCTCCCAGTGCAAGGAGAAGGTGATGAATTTCATTCTGGAAATGTTGAGTTTGAGGTGCCTGTGGTATGTATATGCAGGTGAAAATCTCCAGTTGGCACCATGGATCAGAAGGACAAGAGAAAAGCATGAGCTGGAGTTGTACATTTGGGAATAATCAGGGTGTGGGTGGTGGAGCACCTCGGGTACATGAGCACTCTTCCTCCCAGCTGTGCCCAGAGCACTAGCGACCACACTGGAATTAGTTACACACGTGCCTGTCTTCCCTGGTAGGCTGTAAGTACCAGAGACTCAGTGTCTTCCCATCTGTGTGTCCTCTCTCAGTTCTTTGCAAAAGTGGGCTCTCAATCAGTATTTGTTGACTTGAATTGACCACAGTGGATGTCATTTGAGAACTGTTGTGCAATTTGTCCCTGCAGCAACCTAACATCAAACAGAAGTTTGTGGCTCTCCTGAAGCGGTTTAAAGTTTCAGATGAGGTACGGCCCCTTACTCCCAAGGTTAAGGGTGAGTAGAATTCCCTAAGTTTCACCTCTCATTCTTAGGAGTCAGGATTCTGGGGTTATGATTCCTGCTACCCATTGTATGCCCAGTAGAGCCCCAAGGGAGAGGGTAGTGAAAGAAGGGCTCCAAGCTACTTGAAAAGAGAAAGAAGGGCTTTTCAAGAAGTGCTCGAAGTCTCACAGTATTTGGAGACAGGGGTAGCACAGTTATACCCAGCCATTGGTTCATAACCAAGCCTCTGGTGTGGGATATCAGTAATAAACCGTCACATTTCCCCTCATATCCCAAGGGGAGCATCAGTGAGCATCAGCCTGTGCAGTGCAAGTGTCCTCAGCGGTCAGCCCTTGAGTAACTAGGAATTGGCCATTCACACAGAAGCAGTCTCTTCCCTGGGCTCTGGAAGTCCTGGTACCAGTTTTCACAGGCTTCTCAGTGGACTGAAAAAGGCATGGAGATGAGAATTGTTGAGAGAGATTTCTTTGTCTTTCTGTGGGCTGTAGAGGAAGGTAGAACTCGCCCACACAGGGCCATGGTCTCCCGGGTTTTCTTGCGCCCATTCATCGGAAGAGGTTAGTTAGCACTGAGCCTTTCTTCTTGATGCAGGTCCGTAGTGTGGAGCTTTGGGGAGGAACTGAAAGGGATAGGTGGTCTCACCACATCTCTGCTCTCAGGGTTGGATCACAGAAAGGACATCAAGACTGTTCCAACAAGTGTGAAGCTATGGCATGTGCTTAAGGGGGAATGTAGGAAAAAGAAGTTGCTCCTCTACCATAATTGTTAGTAGGGATTCAACCCCAAATTGAAACATCTTTTTCCCCTACAGGTGGGCTTTGGGCTGGAGCATGTGTCCCGTGAGCAGATACGAGAGGTGGAAGAGGACTTGGATGAGCTGTACGACAGTCTGGAGATGTATAATCCCAGTGACAGTGGCCCTGAAATGGAGGAGACAGAGAGCATCCTTAGCACTCCGAAGCCCAAGCTCAAGTGAGTCCCAAACCTCTCTGATTGCTTTCCTGACACCTCTCCTGCCTAGACCCTAGCAGCCTCCCAAACACCCTCCCTCTCTCTCCCCTCCGTTACCACGGAATCTTGGTTCTTCATCCTTTCTGAACCTCCACCTCTCTAAGTAAAGATCACTGTTTTGCGTGTAACTGACAAAAGTCCTGATAGGACTCTCTGGAAGTCCCTCCACCCAAGCCTCACTTCTCCACCCTTGCCATGTCCTTCCTCACCGGGCTTTCCACAAGCCTAGGAGAGTTGGTCTTTCTTGGACAAAGGCTCTACTCAGCTCTGCCTAAGCTGCTCTTCTGAGCATGGTGGCCACTGACCCTGGCTGTGCTTCTTCGCTGCAGGCCCTTCTTTGAGGGGATGTCGCAGTCCAGCTCACAGACGGAGATTGGCAGCCTCAACAGCAAGGGCAGCCTCGGAAAAGACACCACCAGCCCTGTGAGCAAGACCAGTGGCAATGAGGGGCGGGAAAGGGACTGTGGGCGTGTTGGGGCTTAGCACTCTGGGTCCTTGGCTTAACCAATCATGGCTCATTTTGTGACCTCAGAAAAGCAGTCTCATCTTATTTCAACCTCAGTTTTCATCTCAGCACTGGCTGGAGCTTAGCTCTCTAAGGGTGTTGCTGTGTCTGGTCGGGTGTTCTTTTTGGTCTCTTCCTGCCATGGCATGGAGCCTTCCCTCCCAGAACACTCAGTCCCTCAAAACTTCTCCCTCAGCCTCCTTTACATGGTAGCCGAGTGTATGGCATGGAGTAAGCATTTGACCAGTGGTAAGTGACTCTGCACTCTAGCCTGGGGAAAGAACAGATATAAAGGGGCACAGAAGCTCACAAGATCTGTTTAGGAGACAGTAAATCTGCTGTATTGGGTGGAAAACTCACAGAGGGGAGCAGTGCCCTGGAAAATTTAGAATTTAGTTTCTATCTTGCCTGATGAGCAGAAGGAAAGAGGGGCTCTCTACTGTAGCACCCAAGAGCCCAGCATCCCCTGGCCCTGCTCTGTTGCCCATTGGGGAGGCCCCTCCCAGCTGTGGCTTTCAGGCAGGAACCCAAGTTGATGCTGAAACTCTCAGGCCTTGGGAAGCTGTTCTTCCCTTTGTTTACAACTAAAGCCAAGTGGATGTTGTGCATGATTTTAGTGCAGTTTATTGTTTGCTGTTGAAAGCCCAATGCCTTTTCTGTAGATAAAAGAAACTGAATCCTTTAAGTCCTCCTGTTCTTGCTGTTTTACTAGCAGATGAAGCTTACAGTCATTTATTCACCAGAGGAAATACAAAATTCACTCTGCAACTAGGAATTAATCGTGAGGAGATAATATGAAGCATGCCAGGCCCTATAGACTCTGAAAGCAAAATGTTGGTGGAAGGGCTGGTGGGTGCCTGGAAGGTGTGCGCAAACCGTCAGCATCTGCTGGGGCATCTCATGGACTGCCTTTCTGCCTGCTGCCACCAGGTGGGGCTGTCTTCCAGCCTATCCCTCTTCCTGGTGAAGGTGCAGCACTGGCACTGCCTGGTGTTAGTGAGGAAATGTGGGGTGGAAAACTGCACCCACACCAAGAATCCCCCCCACCCTCTCAGCACCTTTCCAGCTCTAGTTGGTGATGATCTGGAGCTGAGGAGGCCTCACTTATTTGCTACTGGTGTTTAGGATGTGGCTGGGAGCAGCTTTTCCTCACTGAGGGCTGCCAAATGGCGCTGCTGAATCATCACTGTCCACGCAAGCAGATCATTGGCCACTAGAGCCAGATTCCATCTCGAATTAAGTGTAAGGTTTAACTCTACTAGAAAAAAACCTGGGACCTGGCGAGGCAGAACTCTTTCACAGTGTTCTAGGAATTCCAAACAGGTGCTCTACTGAAACAAAATATAGTTAAATTATTAACTGAGACAGTGACCAAAAGCACTAGGCATAATACCTAACAAATTGTGAATGCTCAAAAATGCTAGCAATTGTTGTTATTAAATCCGTAAGAGACACTTTATACTAATGAAGGTGTTTCTGGGTTGATAGAATTAGGCTGTAGGTTTAGTCTCAGTTACATGGTTTACAAAATTTAGAGAAAAAATCACCTTGACGCAGTGAGCCTCAAGAGCCTTATTTGTAAGGTAATGGTGTTGGCGTAGGAGCCCAGTTAGCTGAAAAGTCAGTCGAGTATGAGTCTTTACAATATGATGGCCTAAAGGCCCCTGTTAAGACAAAAAACGGATTTGGGCAGGGTGGAGTTTATGAGTTTGAATCTTGACTACATCACCCCACTGACAGTGTGATCTTGGGCAACTTACCAAGCATGTGTTTCCTCATCTACAAAGTACATGTAAAAAGCACATGCCTCACAGGTAGTATGGAGGTACAGTGAGATAATGCAGATCAAACCTCCGGCGTGGCGTGAGCTTGATTGATTGACTGCATGGGGAGTGTGCAGTAAATGTAAGCTGCTGCTGTTTTTATTATTCTAATTCCTTAGAGCCATTTCAGTTTGGACTCCTAAAATTGATAGGGCCTTGATGTATTTTCCATTAGTCCTTCAAATTCTAGTTCCCTTGGCCACATTTCAGACTCACTTTGCTGGTTCTCTGCTGATATTTCTATTTTGAAGAGCCCCATATGTCTCGATGTGGGTGTGGAGTTTTGGAATCCTTTGGTATAAAAGCTCTCAGAATGATAGAACAAGTCTGTGCTCTGACATGGAGAACTTCTGAATGGATTAGGAAAAAACATGAGACTGTGTATGTAGGCAGACTCGCACAAGCTGCCTCAACTTAGTGTCCTCACTTCCCTGATTCCTACCATTGTTGTTTGTTTGTTTGTTTATCCTTTTTCTTAATCTTCCCCCCCTTTTTTTGGCAGTGGGCCAATATCGGAATATGAACCCTCAACCTTGGTGTAATAACACTGCACCCTAACCAACCTGAGCTACCCTGCCATCCTTTAACCTTCCTTTTTGTTCCCCGTATTTTCAAAGAATTCAGCTTATCACTGAAGGAGTTTCTGCTGATACAAATTATTGTAGTTGTTGAGTTTTCCCAAGATTCAAGCACGCAGTAGCAACATAATTTGGTTTTCCAAGCTGATAACAGTAGGCGCTGACGACGCTTCAGTTAGGGCAGCTGCAAGAAGCAGTCTTTCAGCCAGTACGGCCTGCTGCTGAATGTTGCTGTTTCCATAGCACTGTAAATAGCGGTGTTAGAGACTAGTATACTTCATAAAGACAATAGCCTAAATATTACCTGTTCTTGTCCCTCACAAACATGAGCATGCACACACTCCTCAGCAGCTAACACTGCCCCTGGGCACAGTGCTACAGACGCTGGAGCCTCAAGAGATGCCTGGTCTGTGTCCAGTGCCAAACAGTTCGACACAGCTAGAGCACTGCTGGTGTTCAGGGTCCTTTGGTGAGAGAAGCCCTTCAGTATTTATAGGAGTGGGAACAGAAACTCGGACAAGTTTTGAGTTTGTTCCTGGGACATCTGGAAGAGTCAATAAATAGCCAGCAGTTTCTCTCTAAGCCCAATCGAAGTTAAAGACATTTTTAAAAGTTATTTATTTATGTATTTTAAATTGACAGATAAAGCTATATGTGTTTATTGTGTACAACACAATGTCTTGAAGTCCAAGTTAAAGCTCTTATCAGGAAATGGATATGTTAATTTCCTTGATTTAATCATTTCATACAGTGTACATGTATATCAAAAGATCATGGTGTACACCATAAATATATGCAATTTTTTTTTTTTAAATGACCGGTAAGAGGATCTCAACCCTTGACTTGGTGTTGCCAGCACCACGCTTAGCCAGTGAGCTAACCGGCCATCCTTATATAGGATCAGAACCTGTGGCCTTGGTGCTATCAGCACCGCACTCTCCCAAGTGAGCCACGGGCTGGCCCAATATATGCAATTTTTATTTGTCAGTTATTCCTTGGGGCTGGCCAGTTAGCTCACTTGGGAGAGCATGGGTTCAGATGCTGGTACCAGCCAGCCACCCAAAAAAAAGCATATATATACATATACATACGTGTGTATATATACACATACACACACACACATATATATATATATATATGCACCTTAATTAAGCTGGGGGGAAAAAGATTTTATCAAGTGTTGCAACCTTGCCAAACAATGCTGTAGCTGTCATAGGGCTTGACAACAGGCATACTGTTTTAAAACCTCCCAGCACATTTCCTTCCCCTTTCCCCTCTCCCTCTCCCTCCCAACTGCTCTGCAACAACATCATAGAATGTAAAAAAAAAATAAATTAAATTAAATTTTAAAAAAAACAAAACCAAATTCTCTTTGCCATAAGCCTGTGAACTGAAAACAGTATAGTAACACAGGTGCTAGTGAGGACTTGGTCTTTAAGCACATGAAAAGAACCTAATTAATTCATATAATTTTTTAAAGCCATCTTCTTCAAACTCATATGCAAGTGTTTTGGATGTTGTAATGATATAAGCATCCTAACTCTAAAATGGCAGTGCTGCCTTGGAAGAGAAACACCTTTTTTTTTTTTTCCTTTTTGTCTTTTTTCATGACCAGTAACAGGATCGCAACCCTTGGTGTCGCGCCTGCACCGCGCTCAACCAGTGAGCGGACCGGTCTCTGTATGGGATCCGAACCCTCGGCGGAAGTGCCGCCACGCTCCCAAGTGCCGCACTCTACCGAGTGCGCCACCGGGCCGGCCCAAGAAACTCCTTTTTGGCAATGTTGGTCCCTTCTTAAATCTGAGCCCTCCACCTCAAACAGCACAGTCACAGCTTAGGGTGTGAAGAGATGCTTTGCCAATAGAGACTTCCCTGAAATGGATGCCTGTCATCTGTTAAGTGTCATTGTGATCTGCAGTGGCCATATCATTCCAGCAGCCCTGGTTTTAGAGCACCCACAGGGAGGGAGGGTTTTCTTCTCTGTATATTCCCAACTGAACGTGATGGTCTACGTTTTATCTCCTTTTTAATCCTCATGACACCTCTATGAGATAAAGGATAATGGCAGTGGTTGCATGATAATATTAAAGTACTTAATTCCAGTAAACTGTATACTTAAAAATGGTTAAGGTAGTACATTTTATGTTATAGGTATTTTACCACAATAAAAAAAATTGGAAAAATAAACTTTTACTTAAAAAAAAGAGAGAGAACTGTGTTATCACCCCAACTCATTCTCTTTAAAACATGCTTAATTCGGGCCGGCCCAGTGGCGCACTGCTACAGTGCGCCGCTTGGGAGCGCGGCGGCGCTCCCGCCAAGGGTTCGGATCCCACATACAGACCGGCGGCTGCTCACTGGCTGAGCAAGGTGTGGGTGCAACCCCGAGGGTTGCGATCCCGTTGCCGGTCCCGGTCCAGTACGGGCGCGACACTGAGGGTTGCGATCCGTTGCCGGTCACAAAAAAAAAAAGGAAAAAAAAAAAAACCATGCTTAATTCATTTGTCATACTAAGATCCAAAATTGAGTGAAATCATCCTTAGTCTTAGGTCCGACTGGGGCTTTTCCGTGATTCTAGATTTAGACGATGTGTGCATGAACTACATGTGCATGAACTACATGTGCACTCTGGAGGCAGCCTGTTCTGTGTAGCTGTGAACCATTACACAAGCCAAACCATCTCAAGATCTGGGGTCACAGGGTGTGGCTAAAGTTTGTTGGGTTAGTCTTGCAGATGGCTTAAAGCTGTGGTTCTCAACTGGGTGTGATTTTGCATTTGGCGATGATTTTTGGATGTCACATATGGGGGTCAGGGGCTGCTACTGGCATCTAGTGAGTAAAGGCAAGGGATGCTGTTAAACATCCTGCAATGCACAGTACAGCCTCTGTGACAGAATGATCCAGCCCGTAATGTCAGTGGTGCCAAGATGGAGAAACCCTGGTTGAGAGTATGACACAGGGAGCCTACTTTTGTAATTCTTGTTCATTAATTTGCTGTGATCCCCTAAACTTGTTAGTCTGGTGTTTCTCAGTGTTACATAATATACTCAGAGAAAGGACTTTGAGTAATTGGAAGGAAGTGGGAAATCCTTTATACTTTTGACTGCTTTGGTTCCCTACAAGAAACAAAGAGATCACTAAGGCCAGTACATTCCCTACATGACTTTGACCAGAAGCAATATTAGCAAATGTAAAAAATCTGATTATGTATCTGTATTTGCAAAGTAAATTTTTAACATTTATGAGAAATGCTGTAAGAGTTGGGGACAAATGAAGAATTAATTCACACCCAAATGGCTTAACATTGGGTATCTTTTTGCTTAATATAGTCTATTAGAGGGTTTTCTGGATGTTTCTACCAAACAAAAACTTGGCTACCAAATACTTGGCTACCATGGATATCTTTAGTCTAAAAATTAAAGACCCGACCTATAAGATCTTCCTTTCTCTGACAAGTAAAGAAGGCCTTATATATCCCTCCTGGGCAAGGACGTTTACTGAATCCAAGGCCAAAGACTTAATGGATCCAATAGCAAAGCCATCTAAACTTTGAGCTTCTCTTCCCTAGTGATACCTGTGGGAGTCAGAATCTCTGGGTTTTCCATTTCACTGTTACTGACTTAATGATTACAAAAAATAATTGACCCCTCCAAAGCTTAGTTTTCACAAAAATATACCGCTTCATAAAATGAAAGCCCTGAAGATTTTATAAGGTTGAAGATTAAGTGAAAGTATTTTAAGCTTCTTAGGGACCTAATAAAAGAAGTTCGTGTGGTAGTTATTTGGATCAGTGATAATTAATTATTACGATTTTTGCAGATGGAATTGGCTGCTCTAGAAAAAGTCAAATCTACTTGGATTAAAAACCAAGATGACAGCTTGACTGAAACAGACACTCTGGTATGTATGGTTCAGTTTCCTATTTCACCCATTTCAAATAACATTTGTACCTTTAGAAATAAAGGCAAAAAGACCAGATCTTCAGGACTACTCTGGAAATTTTGCCTGAACCTGCAAGCTTGTGAATGTACTGCATTCTCTTTTTCCTGAAATCCTTACCCATGGAATGTAACCTAACCTAGAGACCAGTGAGGGCAGGAAAGATGCACAGAAAGGTGGGAGGAGGGGAGAGTGAGCCAGACGACGAGGCACAGAAGGTGGGAGGAAGGGAAGAGAGTGAGGGTAGAGGAGGATGCACAGGAAGTGGGAGGAGGGGAGGACAGGATAGCGATGCACAGTAGTTGGCATCCGGATGGGGAAGGGAGGGAGAGTTCCAAGGCAGATGCAGGGTGGCTTTGTCAAGGTGAGGAACACAGCTACAAATCACACTGGTTTTGTAGATCACAGGCCTGTGCCTTGGTGAGGTCCACCACCTTTTCTGTGGCTTTTCAGGGAGCTAGGACATGCATATAGGGTCCCTTCTTCTCTCCTAGAGAAGTTACACCATGAGTCTGCTCTTGCGTGCTGACAAACCATTGGTAAAGTCAAGGGCAGAGTTGATTGCAGCCTACAGTGTCCCACACAGTGGGTTAAACAGCAGTTTCCCCATCAGGTGAGGCAGGAGTTTTAGAAGTAAGTACTTCTGGGAAGAAAAAGCAAACACTTGACTCTCCTCACCATGGTAAGGGCCCTGAGAAGACTCCAAGGAGGCCTCTGGGTGTCACCGAGTGAGAAGTAACCTTCACTGCTGCTTTGCTTTCCTCCGTGGCAGGAAATCACTGACCAGGACATGTTTGGAGATGCAAGTACAAGTCTGGTTGTGCCAGAGAAAGTCAAAACTCCCATGAAGTCCAGCAAAACGGATCTCCAGGGCTCTGCCTCCCCCAGGTACTCCAGATTGGAAGGAAGCAGAGGGTACAAACCTGAGACAGTACTTAGCATAGGCTCCACGGCCTAGGGAGAGTCTGGGCTGGGAGCAGCTTGACGGTTAGAGGGGCTGTTTAACCACCTCCTTTCCACGTCCCTGGCAGCAAAGTGGAAGGGGTGCACACACCCCGGCAGAAGAGGAGCACGCCCCTGAAGGAGCGGCAGCTCTCCAAGCCCCTGAGTGAGAGGACCAACAGTTCCGACAGCGAGCGCTCTCCAGACCTGGGCCACAGTACACAGGTATTTCCAGGCCCCCCTCCAGACCCGGAGCCTCGGAGACTCCTGGACTTCAGTCTCTGTTTTGTCATCTTCTTTGGATGGTCAGGCAGAGAGGAGAGGAGGAGCACTTTGAAATGCTCTGAATAAAAAGTCATAAAGAAAGACGTAAATTGGAGAAATCTACTGTATTTGTTATTTACTAATAGTGTGGAGTTGGGCTTCCGTGCTGATTTGTAGGGAGCAGGGGAGGGAGCAGCAGATGCTGGCACTGTCCTAGCCTGCCATCTGCTGCGAGTGGTGGTGGCACACCTTCTGGTTTGTTCTGCCTCCACCAGACATTGGTCTGGAGATTGTATGGTGAATCCATTGTTGCAGAGGACAGTAGCCATCAAATCTCACGGGACAACCCCAACCTGAGCTCCCATCCTTTAGTAGTGCCATGGGTCAGTTATTGTGATTTCACGCTGGTAGATCACCTGTGTTTAGATATTTTGATTGGGGCCGAGCCCGTGGCGCACTTGGGAGGGTGCAGCGCACTCGGGAGGGTGCGGCGCTGGGAGTGCGGCGGCGCTCCCCCCGCAGGTTCGGATCCTATATAGAGATGACCAGTGCGCTTACAGCGCTCACTGGCTGAGCGCGGTGCGGCCGGTCTCAAAAAGGACAAAAAAAAAAAAAAAGATATTTTGATTGAAAGAGCCGACAGTAGGCTGGAAAAGAAGGTGAAAGAAGCTGGACCTTGGGAATTGTGTCCTCTTTCTGAAGGCCAGTGGCATCAGAAGTTTGGGGTAGGAATTTTTCTGAACTGGCACACCCCACACAATTACTGTTCTAGAGGAAAGCAGCGAGTCTGTTCGTTTCCCTGGTAAATATTATCAAGAGAATAGTTTGTGTCAGTATGGCTTCCTGAGTTTGATGCTATTACATAGCTGAAAATGAACCCAAGACTAGAATAGCTCAGTGCCTGGGGTGAGGTGTTGTCCTTGTTAATCACTGTTCCTGAAATACCTTTTGTTCCTGTGGACGGCGGTCTGCACACAGCACTCTTGCCACTCTTATTTCTGCCCCCGCTGCCCTCGTTTCCCTCCTGCAAGCGCTACCCATGGCTCCTCACACCTCTGCTGGTCCCACACTGCTGCCTCTGCACCATCCCAGTGTCACTGCCTTCCTGGATGCTCACCATGGCTCCAGTCTCCCGGACACACACTGCGGCTGTGTCCGTGATGTATCCGTGTGTTCTCCAAGGACTCTCACTGATTCTTTTTTTTTTTTTTTTTTTTTTTTTTTTTTT